TAAGTATATATCTGGTTTAGATATTCATATAGGCTACATATCCACACTACTGTAGAATCTCTAGGAATGTATGTATCGTTAAACGATTTCAGATCTGATTCCTATTAATAATTCTGGTTCCCTAAAAGAACTGTTATTTTGAGGAAAAAAAATAAAGAAATGGCAAATGCTTAAAAGTCTATGATTGGATCATTATTGGAGTGATTATTATGTTTTGAGCATGTTCTTCTAACACTAATCGATGGAGTGTGAAGCATTTCATTTCTTAAACAACTATGTAGGATGAGACAACATGGCCATATTCCAGGATGACAATGTCAAGATTCATCAGGCTCAAATTGTGAAAGAATGGTTGGGAGGGAGCATGAAGAATCATTTTCACACATGAATTGGCTCTGAGTCCAGACCTTAAAGGAGTAGTTCCAAGACGTCCGTGTCTTTCTTTCATCAGTCGAAAAGAAATTAAAGTTTTTAATGAAAACATTCCAGGATCTTTCTCAATATAATGGACTTCAATGGGAACCAAACGGTTCAAGGTCCAAAAGACAGTTTCAGTGCAAACTGCAAACTGTTGAAAGGGCTTTAAACGATTCCAGACGATGAATAAGGGTCTTATCAAGCAAAGCGATCGCTCATTTAAAAAAAAAAGTTCAAGTTTTAAGCTCAAATGCTCGATTTGCTTTGTTCTGTGTGACTCTCCTGTACGAACTCGTTCATCAAAATGAACGAATCTTTTTCCGAGTCAATTCGTTCATTTCGTTTGTTGAATGAACCAAATGACTCAAAAAAAGATTCGTTCATTTTGATGAACGAGTTCAAACAGGAGAGACACGAACGCGCATCACAGAACAGAGCAAGGCAACCATTTGAGTTTATAAAACTTTTTTTTTAAATGAGCGATCGCTTCGCTTGATAAGACCCTTATTCATCGTCTGGAATCGTTTAAAGCCCTTTGAACAGTTTGCAGTTTGTAGTAAAAGTGTCTTTTGGACCTTGCACCATTTGGTTACCAGTAAGGTCCATTATATGGAGAAAAATGTTGGAATGTTTTCATCAAAAAACTTAATTTCTTTTCGACTGAAGAGAGAATGACATGGACATCTTGGATGACATGGGGGTCAGTAAACTACTCATTTAAACTCATTGAAAGTCTTTGGGATGTGCTGGAGGAGACTTTACAGAGTGCTCGACTCCTGATCTTGACCATAAATTGATGCACCTCTGGAATGAAATAACATCACGACTTTTATTTCCATTAAGAGGTGCATCGATTTTTGGTCAAGATCTTGTATTGACAATGCAAGAGTCCAGCACTCGTCAAAGTCTCTTCTAGCACATCCCAAAGACTTTCAATGAATTTACTTAACTGATGCACATCTTTAAACTGATCTTAACACAGTCTCACAAGCCTTGAGTACAACATAACAGTCATTTATATGTTCTGCACTCTTAAAAATAAAGGTTCTTTATCGGCATTAATGGTTCCTTGAAGAACCTTCCTTTTAACATCCATGGACCCTTTCCAGTGCACAAAAGATTTTATATAATGAAAAAAAAAAGGTTTTTTAGATTATTAATTAAGAACGTTTCACTGAAACACCCTTTTACAACCATTATTTTTAAGAGTGCATGCGTTTGGTTCACTATATAGAACAATCTCAAAAGATTCATTACTTTGTAAATCGAACTACATAATGCTGAATGGTTCTGATTCACCAAAAGAACAGGTTCATTTGTTCGAACAATGGAACAAAGAGGTTGCAATGTAGATTTTTGATTTGCTAGTAAGAACCGCCTCATAGCAGTCATTTTGCACTGTGCATTCAGATTTTCATTTAAAATCATTTGATTCTGGAATAACAGCTCTGAATAAGACCCACTCCATAAATATAAACCAATTTAAATTGGCTATTTAGACATTGTTATACTATATTATGTACGTTACACTTGAATAAAACAATGCATAGAGCTCTATGGAGTAAAGCATCAGCTCCAGTGTAATCCCTGGCAATAGCGGTTTCCATTCAAAGTTGTGAATTTAACTTATGCGCAAAATTGATACCAAAAACACAGCTAAAATCAAGGGGAGATCGAGCTTTTGAAGTGGCTGGTCCCACACCATGAATTTAAAAAAAAGAGATACTTTTTTCGGTGGTTATCTGGTTTATCAAGTATGCTTTGTTAATTTAACTTAAACAAATCGTTGCCTGGTAAAAGGGTCTTTACAAGCTTAAAGAAATCAGATGTCATGGGAGGTTTTATTCTTTATCTTCTATTTTATACAAGGTATAGATTAAATCTTTTTTTCTGTGTTGGAATGAGAAAGCAGAGCTTTCAGTGTATCCATAATGCAATTGTAAAAACAAACAGCTTTGGTGAGTGTTTGGAAAGAGCTAAATGAATCCCAGGTACTGCATTGTACTCCCAACTGCCTTAATCTCGTTAAGACATGTCAATCACAAACAAAGAAATATATGGAGAGAAAGAAAAAAAAGAAGGTTGTGCTCTTCTTATCTCCTGAATCTGCAATTCTTGAATCTGGACTCGCTACAGAATACAGAGTCCATTAAAATGTTATCAGTCAGTCATCATGATGAATAAAAAAATCCTGTGTGTGTGTATTTTCATGTCTCACATCATTTTTATATCATTCTGTCCACTGTCAGTTTGGAACGGATCGTGCACTATAATCATGCTAAATGATGCGAACGTCACTCTGCTAACACGTTATTTACATTTGATGTCAATTACTGTGTTAAAGCACTAGAAGGCCCAGACACAGATTGTGATAGCTTATTACATTTACAGGAATGATAATGATTGATTTATAGTTCATATACGCTCCACTAAACCCTTTACGAATTATATGTTTTTATTAGTGCCGTCAATCGACTGAAAATCAAACTAATTACATGACATGATAAAATGCTAATTACATTTAAAATCACTGAATGATGAAGAATTACTGATATCATTCATTATACATAATTATATATACCCACATAAATACATATAGGGATATATTTGATTAAAATAGACATATATACATATTATTTATGGTATACATTAATTGTATTATATATATATATATAATGTGACTTAGTATCTAATTTAACTAGTTTAAGCTACATTATGTATAACTACATTGTATTAAACTGTATAATACTGTATACATAAATATATGTATTTACATGTCATAAATGAATTTTATTATATTTATTGACTTCTTATAGTGATTGTTTTAATGTATAAATATTTATATGTCTATTTAAAAGTTTTTGATAAATAAATATATCAATATGCCGCTTATGTATCAAAGTAGATAACTCATCTCACTTGGGAAGAAGTCATTTTTTTCCTCACATTTATGAGGATGTCATAGTGTGCTAAGACAAAAAATATTAGCTGTCCCCTCCCACTCAACATCGGCACCAACAAATGTGTCATCTCCTAACTAGCTTTTAATTTTCTTGGAGTTCAGTTTAGCAAACAGGGTCTTCTCCCTATATACGAGAGCCTTCGCTCAGTAACTAACTACACGCGGGATCGCAGAATGACGGCCTCTCGTCAGCTAACACCCATGCCGGCGCCACAAGAACACGCCAAACCCTCCTGGAAAAAAACTTCACTGCTCTCTGGAGGGTCCTCGCTCGACTGTTCGCTCTTTTCCTGTCTATCTTGGGCTGGGATGAAGTCTGTGTTTTTAGGAAAATTCCTCTGGCGCGACCCCGTAGGCCCAGCGTCTTCCCTGCGATCATTAGAAGCAGACCCCCGTCTTGTGTTTGTCCTATGCAAACAGCTCAGCTACCACTTCATCCATCTCGTTTAGCCTGCCCTGAAACTTCATGCTTCTCTTAAATGACATTTTCTCCCCCCCCATTTTTCCGACACAATCGTATGGGTTTTCCTCCCTGTGGTCTCGGACCTGTCTGCTGAACCTCCTGACTGCTGCCACTGCATCAAATATTTATCAAGGAGTTTCAAACATGTCCGTAAATCAGCGGTGCGTGTCCGTGTACCCTCTACGGCCGCACAAACGCGCAGACATCCTTCCTTGTCCCATAATTCATCTCCAATGCTATTGAAACAGTGGGAAGAGTGAAGACAGGACATTTAAAAGAGGAAATATTAAGTAAGACGGTCACACTCGTGCATATTTGTGCAATGTCGCCATCTCTTGGTGATTTATAGTGAAGCGTTAGTGTTGCAAGTCTACTGAAGTTCTGGAACCGAAACCACCTAGTGAATTCACCTCGAAATCATTCGAAATAAGTCTTCGGCTATATGAATAAGAATATCTGACAGACGTGAATGTCGGTGTAATAACACAGAAAGCATCACAATGTACTCACCATTCTGCTCACACATAGATGTTCCAAGAGGCCGTGTTAAGAAGTGATGATGATGAGGGCAGTCAAATGAACCGGTCACCAGTGGGCCAGGCAGCTGAGATTTCATTATTGATGAAACGACGGCATGGAGCGCTGATGACGGCTGATTCAGAATGCAAAACACCATTCGCTGAGCCATCAGACACTCTCAGCACAAGTCTGTTTTTTAACACAAAAAAGGGTCAAGGGAAAGGGTATGACATATCCACAAGAACTGCTTTAATTATAATATATGATGTTACACCAATATAACTTAGTTTTTTAAATATGTAGAATTTAAATATAATATTTTTCAGATTTTATCAGGCATCCATTAATATTCATATGTAAAGTTTAGATCTAGCACACACTTTTAAAGGTTTAGATAGACATGCTTAAGATAGTTAGACTTAGCTAAGAGACTTAAGTATCCTAAATAGAGGTTTATAGAATACTGAATAAATGCATTGATTTTAGAGTACTTGTATTTAACTAGATTAATTAAGCCGTTAACTGAATTTAAATCATTTAACCTGGCTGAAATTTTAAAGGTTCACCCAAAAATGAAAATGTTGTCATTAATTCCTCACCCTCACGTTCCAAACTTGTAAGATTTACGTTCTTTTTTTAAAACACAAATGAAGATATTTTCAATGAAATCTGAGAGCTTTCTGTCCTTCTGTAACTACCACTTTGTTGCTTCAAAAAGTTCATAAAGAGATCGTAAACCTAATCCATATGAATTGAGCGGTTTAGTCCACATTTTTTCAGAAGAGACTCGATCGCTTTATAATGATGAACAGATTAAATTTCACAAATAAACATTCATCAAGTCACACATCAGTTGTGATAAATGAAAGCTCAAGCATGTTCCTTTGACGTGCGAGAACCAATGAGGTTCATTCTCGTGTTACACGTCACATTTGAGCTTCTACAAGAACCAATGAGGTTCATTCTTGTGTAACACGTCACGTTTGAGCTTCTACAAGAACCAATGAGGTTCATTCTTGTGTTACGCATCACATTTGAGCTTCTACAAGAACCAATGAGATTCATTCTTGTGTTACACGTCACATTTGAGCTTCTACAAGAACCAATGAGGTTCGTTCTCGTATTACGCATCACGTTTGAGCTTCTACAAGAACCAATGAGGTTCATTTTCGTGTTACGCATCACGTTTGAGCTTCTACAAGAACCAATGAGATTCATTCTTGTGTTACACGTCACATTTGAGCTTCTACAAGAACCAATGAGGTTCGTTCTCGTGTTACGCATCACGTTTGAGCTTCTACAAGAACCAATGAGGTTCATTCTCGTGTTACGCATCACGTTTGAGCTTCTACAAGAACCAATGAGATTCATTCTTGTGTTACACGTCACATTTGAGCTTCTACAAGAACCAATGAGGTTCGTTCTCGTGTTACGCATCACGTTTGAGCTTCTACAAGAACCAATGAGGTTCATTCTTGTGTTACACGTCACATTTAACCTTCTACAAGAACCAATGAGGTTCATTCTCGTGTTACGCATCACGTTTGAGCTTCTACAAGAACCAATGAGATTCATTCTTGTGTTACACGTCACATTTGAGCTTCTACAAGAACCAATGAGGTTCGTTCTCGTGTTACGCATCACGTTTGAGCTTCTACAAGAACCAATGAGGTTCATTCTTGTGTTACACGTCACATTTGAGCTTCTACAAGAACCAATGAGGTTCGTTCTCGTGTTACGCATCACGTTTGAGCTTCTACAAGAACCAATGAGGTTCATTCTCGTGTTACGCATCACGTTTGAGCTTCTACAAGAACCAATGAGATTCATTCTTGTGTTACACGTCACATTTGAGCTTCTACAAGAACCAATGAGGTTCGTTCTCGTGTTACGCATCACGTTTGAGCTTCTACAAGAACCAATGAGGTTCATTCTTGTGTTACACGTCACATTTAACCTTCTACAAGAACCAATGAGGTTCATTCTCGTGTTACGCATCACGTTTGAGCTTCTACAAGAACCAATGAGATTCATTCTTGTGTTACACGTCACATTTGAGCTTCTACAAGAACCAATGAGGTTCGTTCTCGTGTTACGCATCACGTTTGAGCTTCTACAAGAACCAATGAGGTTCATTCTTGTGTTACACGTCACATTTAACCTTCTACAAGAACCAATGAGGTTCGTTCTCGTGTTACGCATCACGTTTGAGCTTCTACAAGAACCAATGAGGTTCATTCTTGTGTTACACGTCACATTTAACCTTCTACAAGAACCAATGAGGTTCGTTCTCGTGTTACGCATCACGTTTGAGCTTCTACAAGAACCAATGAGGTTCATTTTCGTGTTACGCATCACGTTTGAGCTTCTACAAGAACCAATGAGATTCATTCTTGTGTTACACGTCACATTTGAGCTTCTACAAGAACCAATGAGGTTCGTTCTCGTGTTACGCATCACGTTTGAGCTTCTACAAGAACCAATGAGGTTCATTCTCGTGTTACGCATCACGTTTGAGCTTCTACAAGAACCAATGAGATTCATTCTTGTGTTACACGTCACATTTGAGCTTCTACAAGAACCAATGAGGTTCGTTCTCGTGTTACGCATCACGTTTGAGCTTCTACAAGAACCAATGAGGTTCATTCTCGTGTTACGCATCACGTTTGAGCTTCATCAAGAACCAATGAGGTTCATTCTTGTGTTACACGTCACATTTAACCTTCTACAAGAACCAATGAGGTTCATTCTCGTGTTACGCATCACGTTTGAGCTTCTACAAGAACCAATGAGGTTCATTCTCGTGTTACGCATCACGTTTGAGCTTCATCAAGAACCAATGAGGTTCATTCTTGTGTTACACGTCACATTTAACCTTCTACAAGAACCAATGAGGTTCATTCTCGTGTTACGCATCACGTTTGAGCTTCTACAAGAACCAATGAGGTTCATTCTCGTGTTACACGTCACATTTGAGCTTCTACAAGAACCAATGAGGTTCGTTCTCGTGTTACGCATCACGTTTGAGCTTCTACAAGAACCAATGAGGTTCATTCTTGTGTTACACGTCACATTTGAGCTTCTACAAGAACCAATGAGGTTCATTCTCGTGTTACGCATCACGTTTGAGCTTCTACAAGAACCAATGAGGTTCATTCTTGTGTTACACATCACGTTTGAGCTTCTACAAGAACCAATGAGGTTCATTCTTGTGTTACACATCACGTTTGAGCTTCTACAAGAACCAATGAGGTTCATTCTTGTGTTACACGTCACATTTGAGCTTCTACAAGAACCAATGACGTTCATTCTTGTGTAACGCAGCACGTTTGAGCTTCTACAAGAACCAATGAGGTTCATTCTCGTGTTACGCAGCACGTTTGAACCAATCAACTTTATTCTCATGCGTCAAGCAAGTACTGTTGAGCTTCTGTTTATGGGAGTTCTTCATAAAAGTCTATGGGAGGTTTGCATTTCTGTATTCCAACAACTATGACTGTCGCCGGATATCGACAGCTCTCTATTAAAACGAATGGGATCATGACATTTTGTCGCTGGCGTTGTGAAAGTGGCTTCAGTATCTAAACATAAATGTATAAGTACATGTATAAATTCTACTAAGACAACATTCTGTAGGACAGGATAACAAGATACACACTAAATGTGTTTTGTCGTAAGAGTTTGACCATAGATCTTAAGCATTCCTTGCAAATGCATAAAACGTGGAAGATCAGCGCAAGAGAGAGCTGAGAAACGTGCAGCATTTGGATTTCATAACTCATTTACCTCTCACACCATCACACCTCACTAGACGAGAGGAACTGGCAGCTTCAGCGCTCTTGATATTGGCGACACGAGAGAGCTCTACCATCTCTCAGCTGCGGCCGATTTAGTTGCCTTGGAAGATCAGCGGCTAGAAAGAAATGAGAAGGAGAGGATTGGGTGCGTTAAATCAGTTCCACTCTCTTGTAAATTACAACCCTGCATTTTTAATTTCCTCTCCACATACAATGTTATTCATTGGCGTCCAAGGCAAACACGGGCCGGCAGGCTTTGCCGCGCACGAGAACAAACCGTCCTCTTTTGCGCTGTCAAAAACATGATGAAATGCACACATTCCTTGTGTCAAGCTGAAAAGTTTAGAGCCTGTAGATCAACAGTAAAACAAAAGGGGCTGTTGGAAATGAAAGTGACTGCGGGATGTGAGTGACGGGGTCCTGCCTCAAAATCAACCTCGTTCCTGCAAGAGCAAAACTGTGCGAGGAGTTTCTTCAATTACACGCATGGAGTTTCAGAGGAGTCTTGTAGGTATATTGTATATACACTTATTTCATGCCAATGATGCACCAATTAGAGACCAGTGTGTTCGTAATGCGCCTGAAGATAATGTCTTGGCAGTACAAACCACAAGATCAAATGCTGGGAAAAGCTGTCATAATATTGTGTTTTATATCGCAGGCTTTATCTTAATTCCATCTGAAAACCGTGAACCCTTCAATCATATAATCATTTAATGTGCTAGAAGAGATTCCTTTAGTTATTGGGGTTTTTTTTCTCCAAATGGTTATTTTTAGATTTTATGGATTGCATAAATTGAAAAAAATAAAAAATTTGGTGAAGGATCTACTTAGAAACAATTTGCACTCTGTAATTACTTGTGAAATTTACTTGCATATTACACAGCATTTTCTTGTAAAACATACTCACATCATCCTTTTACTTGCACCAACTAAACATCATTTTAGAGTAAATATTTATTCGAATATTTAGTTCGTAAATTCAAATGGAAACTGATATGCTGTACAGTTTCGCGTATGCAAATTCAAGAGTCACCTAAATGTCCTCCCTCCCACATATTATAAATGCAACACCACAGGTCGGCAAACCTTCACAATCACATCACACCAAACTTGATCAAGCAGAAGTGCAAATGAGATTTGAGCGCTACTGTGAAGGGAAAGATTTCAGTGGGGGGGAAACATTATACGAAACAGTGTGAATGAACCATGACATAGTAGTCCACAGTTGGTATGATCGGAGATCGGCTGATGGAGACTTTTTTGTGCAATTTAGCCTGAAATATGTTCTAGTACACTGTAAAAAATATCCGTGATTTTAACAGTAAAAGACTGTAAAAATGCTACAGTGCAAAACTGTTAATTGGTTAATAGAAAGTTTCCGTACTT